TGTGAGGAGCAGAGGGCCGGAGGGAGGGTTAGGAAATTTCAGCTTGATAACAGGGGTGAAAGCAGACCGTCATCTTTTTTTTTATTTTTTTTTTTTTTTTAATTCCTTGACGTTTCAAGAATGCTGCACTTTTTCTCACTTCCTGATTTCTAACCAGTGAAAAGGAAGAACACCTAAAAATGCGGCGCTTCATCTTCCAGTAAAACTTTGGACCTTACAGCGTGTGCGTGCTTTGAGACCTTGCAGAGCTGTCTCAAAAAGATCAGGGAAAGCTGCGCTTTGCATTCTTCCTATTTCCAGTATGTGTGCAAGTGTAAGGAGCAACACAGGGCATAATGCCATTTAAGAGCCATTACATCATATTTTTGCAAGTCAAGCCCAATTCAGTTTTAAAGGAACTCTGGCAGGCTCACACTTTACTTGTAATCCTACAAAAATCATTTGGACTGTTAGTTTTATGAGCTGAAAACACCAGTTTATATATTTATATACACAAAATCTTTTCTTTTTGGTCATTTAGAATAGAAACTTAACTTTTATCAGTTCTGCTATGTATGCCTTAAGAATCTGTGCTCCTCAGTCTATGGAATGAAAGTCTTACTGTCTGAATTCACATTTGAAAAATATTTTCTCATACCAGCTCGTTCTGTTGGAAACTGTAAAATTTGATAGAGTGATCCTGTTTAAATTAACAGCGTGTTTTGCTGAATAGAAAAGTGTAGCCCTTATTTTCCATGTATGCAAAGCATACTCATAGTTTGGTATGAAATTTCACATATCTTGAAGAACTCTTTATAGCCATATGACTGTCCCTTCATTTCAGGCAACTTGACAAGGCTATTCTTTTTCTACAAGTTGGCTTAAAGAAGAAAAAATGAATTATTTACTTGATTCCAGTAATACAATATGTATTGCGGATAATGTGAATTATGTAACTTTTTATAAGCAAATTTTGTAGTTATTTCTACATTTTTATTGTTGCTTTTCATCCCTTATGGATAAATGCCTCAGTTTTTATTAATGAGTATCTTTATCAAACAAGTCTTCCAGATACCAATTTGTTCTGTTTGTCACATACATGAGAGCAAAGTCTGAGGAAAATTACATGTTTTCCTTTTATAAGAACTCTTAATATTTTAGAATTTCTGGGATGCAGAATTCTCTCAGTGGAGTTAGGATACTGTGCTGAGAATTACTGTAGAGATAATTGGTTGCCTCTCTCACCTGTATGAATACTTTTGTTTTCATCTGGAAATTACGAACATCTTTTCTTATTCTCTTCTGCATGGAGTCAGTTTTGTACAATCATTGAGGTAACTGGGGTGCTTCTGAAGTTTGATGAAGTTCTTCAGTGTTTGCTGCATCTTACACTGCTGCTACTAGATGTTTTATATTACAGTTTATTTGTTTGTGGAAGGGTAGAATGTAGTGAAAATGGAGGAAAAGACATCAGTGATGACTTTGGTAGATAAAACTAGTATCTCAAAATTTCAACAGGTGTAAAATTTCAATAGTGCACATAGGTCCTGCTGTATCCAGAGGAAGCTTTTAAGGAAAAGGTGGAGGGAAGTTAAAGACAAGCTGTGATCTTGTATGCCAAGTGCTTGTGAAATTTTGCAGCACAGGGTCTATTCCTGCGGCCTTTTCCCCTCTTTCTTTGCTCTTGTTCATATTGCAATTGAGTGTTGTAGTTTCCCTCATATAGCAGGCAAATTTATATAGATTTTAGCAATAACCAAGGCAAAGGAAAATAATGATTGGGTAGAAGACGCTGTGACTACTTGTAACTGACACTCAGTTTCATGTCCCTTTTGGTTTCTTCATGTTTGCCTGAATCAGAAATGCCTCGTCTGCAATGCAGAGAAGATAACAGAAGGCATAAACCATACTGCGAGGCTGAGAGAAAAGTTTATCTTTGAATGAAACGTATCAATTATATGTCCTAAAACGTCAAATAAGTTTTGTTGAAGGAGCATAGTATAGTTGGGAAGCAGAGAATGGTGCAGGTATTTTGAATGATGTCGATATTTTTGATCTTCCTTAAAAGAAAACAACTGTAGCTACCAATTGAATGTTTGAAGGGCCATTACAGTAAAATATAGAGAATTGTGCTTTTTATCTTAAAGTGTATTTGGGTTTGTTTGGGCTACCATAAGCTCTGTCCACCCTGTGTTGTCATGTATGCATCTGTACTTTCTTCGGCTTTCTTAAGCACCGAGTTGAGCTTTTCTGTAATTTTTTGTGGTGTATTATGTCACTATTAGCGTGTCTTACATGGCTGTAATAGTGGAAATGTTAAGCTTCTGTCACATTAGACTCTCTGACTTTCTTTCTGTTCTCTGCTCCTAGAAGTCAATAAAGCCATGTTTCCTTCAGGTTATGGGAACAATCACCTCCTTATGTGGTAAAACAAGTGTGTCAGAAAAATAGTCTGATGGCTTTTCTGAAATGTAGAGAGGTTGACCAGACTCAGTAAGGATCGAGGCATTCATGACTTCCAAGAGATACTGATCATCATCATTGTCATGTTCTGCTGAGGTCCGTGGAAGGAGGGCGGTAGGGTAGAATCAGATGACTGGGAAATGGCTCCAGAACTGTTAGTGAAAAAAAAAACCAAAACAAAAACAACTTATGGGAGGAGCTTGTACTTGCAGTTTTGCACCAGCATTCTCGATGGAGTGCACCAGTGCTGGTGCAGAAGCAAGTAACTAGTGTACTCTAAGGACTGGTCACTTCAGAGGTGCAGATGCCATATGTGCTTGATGTTGCCAAGTTGGTTGTTGGGTGACTAGAGTAATTTCTGAAATAATTTTGTAGGATTTCCTGAAACAAAAATTGGGTTTGGGGAAGTTGCTTGCTTTGTTAAAAGCATGAGCTGTTGCATGTTTCCATAACACATTCTCTAAGGACTGGTAAAGTTAGGCAGTACCATACTTATTCCTGATACTGAAGTGACCAACAGACAGCAAGCAGAGATCAGCGAACACAAGCAAAGAAGCGTTCCAGTAGTGAGCAGTTGTATGAACTCGAAGAAACTACCATCTCATGCCTTTCTAGTCACACCATTACTAGTTTTTGTAGACGAAAGAAGTTAGAGGGTAAGGTGTTATGTTTCTTAGGACATGCTGAACCCACTTTCATGGCCCATGAAAATGTAACAGACAGACGTCAGGGAAGGAGTGTTTGATGGTACGGCTGGCAGTTGTGAGAAGAGACATAGCAGCAGTCTAGATGCTATTGTTAAAAGATTTGTCTGCAGTTGTTTTGTGGTATGCTTTAGACAATGCCTGAGTTACACCTGTTGAGTTTTCGTGTGGAGTGGATGTGATATACTGATGCGTTGTTGAGCAGGTTTGCACAACTATGTGGTTCCGTATTTGTGCTTATTCTGTGGATGTGGTATGAACAGATACCATGATTGTGCAGATGTTCTTTGAATAACTGATTAGATTTACCATGAAGCTTCCTGGATTAATTTTCTTATCAGCTCTCCAAGGAAGTTTGAAGCTTGAGTCTACAATTATATTAGAGTATTAAATTGTATTTGATTTTTTCATTTTTTGTTTTAGTTTGTGGGTAAAGGCCCTTGCCTTTATTACTTCATGCTTAATAGCTGTAGAAATTTTCACTTCATTTTACATAAAAGTTTAATAACCTCTTCCCTCAATGTTAATATGTATGAGTCTGCAATTATCTTGATAACAGCAGATGCTGCACAGCAATATATGAAGTGTATAGAACAGATGAAAGCAAAATGGTTGAAAATAACAACTGAAACAAAATAGCTTCCTCTTTTTTTCCAAGTGTACTATGATGTAAATACTGGACATGACAAAATAAGTTAACAGGGAACAGAAGATGAAGTGAAAAATTCACAGAACTCAGTTGACAGCCTTAGTGATACATCCTTTGTTACTGTTGTGTACAATTAATGTTTGCTTACCACCGTTTGTTTTCTGTTGCAAATGTGAAAGTGTGGTAAGAGTTGAAACTTGAAGTTTAGGTATTTGATATTTTTGGAGAAAGTCAACAATTTTCAAGCTTGCAGTCCCTTCTTCACTTCTGAAATAGTGTGTGGACCTGAGCTGATCATTATGAAGTTCTTGAGGCAGTGGTAGATCAGCAGACTTAACAGTCCTATTTCAGAAGAGGCTACGAAGGCAGTTGTAGTGGTAGAAATTAGTAGAAAAATTAATTGAAAAAAAAATTATCAGAATTTGCAGAGTACTACACAGAAACCAAATCTACTGCAGGAAATGATTGAACTGGAAATAATTGAAGGCTGGGAGAATATTTGGAAGAGGGGGACAAAATCATAGTTGTATATAATATATTTTAATATGTTATTTTGTATATATTTGCTCTGTTCTTTGCTGTCTCCCATTGGCCAGTTTGAGACAGGATTTAGATTCAGACTCATAGTGTAATTCGTTGTGTTTTTTCTTCCATACACCTTTTCCCATTTTGTTCAGGTTGGAAAAACACCTGTGATCTGTTTATTTATGCATTTATGCCAGTTGGTGAAATAAGATACTACTTCAACTTATAAACCTTGTCCTGCGTCTGTCCATGGACCATCATGGTAAAACACTACCTGACAGCAAGTACTGGAGGAATAGATCAAGCTGATAACAAACTTCATTGGTCACTGAATTGAAGCATGCACGGCAACACTCTGAAGAACAGTCAATTTGATTTGTAGATAAACATTATCCAATTTGCAGACTTTTGCAAAGCTTATTGACTGAAATTTATATTTGTATGTATCTCCGTAATGTAGGCATTTTCTAGTTGGATATTGGCTCAAGGTGGATTTGATTCATGGAATAAGAAAAGTATTTGTTCTTTTCTGGTTTTAAGTGAACAGTTTATTCTCTTTAGCACCAAGTAATTTTAATGGCTCATAAAACTTTATTTTTTTAAATTTTTTTTCCCCTAGAACTGAATTCCTACAAAAAATGGTGGTGCAGATCTGACCTGTGGTAATACCGTGAAGGAGTATGAATATTTCAGCAAACTGCCTCTTCAGTGGTTCCTCGTTAGCATCTGAAGTGCATGCTGCTGCTGTTAATGGAGATAAGAATACTCTCCAAAAGCTAATAGCAGGTAAATGTTTTCATTGTAGATGCATTTGGATGACTTCAGCGCTGAAGCCTTTTGATTTTGGCTTACCACTCTGATCTTTAAGATCGGTTTTCATTTCTTGATAATATGTATTTCTGGAATAAATGTAGTCCTGAAAACATGACTGATTTTTTTTTCCACTTTTTATTACCTGTTGCTTTTCATTGTTACTTCTGTGTGAAGCTGTTAAGTGATACAACCAGAAGAGTTATATAGGACTCTGGTTTCAGAGGATTTGAAATTCTGGACGAGTGCTTTGAGTTGAAATATTTTTACTGCAAATCCTTATTTTTAGAATTGCTTTTGTGGGAAATTTGATGAACTTGGTTTTACAGGTCATTTATTACATTTAATGAAGTCTCATCACTGTGTGGTGTTTGGGGACAAAATGAGTCAGCTCTGTTTGTTACTTTGATTATGATTACCTTTAATTGTTCTTGAGAAACGTTGTTAGTGTAATTTGAGAGTCTGGTCCCACTGAAGCTGAAGTAAAAAAAAATTCCCACCCATTAAAAAGCTGAGGATTTGTCTTCGCTCTTTGTCCAAGAACTCTGTGGCATTCTAGGTTAGTAGTTTTCAAAAGCAGTTTCTGAATTCCAAAGCCAATCTTACGTACGTTTGGAAGGCTGTCATATGATAAGTGAAGACTTAGATTTTTTTTTTTCAGAGTTTCTAATTAAATGCAATTCTAGGTACTGTAGAATTTTTATTTGCCAAGCTTTTCTTGACATCACATTCCTGGAGTTTGGCAAGGGTGAAGGACTGTGAAATAATAAGAAACTTAGTCTATATTTGTGCCATTAACTGTCAGTTTTAATGGGTGTAAAGGACTTAATGGTAATCACATTAAACCAACAGTCAAGGTTCTTTTACTGACCTATATTGAATACTAGATAGTTATATGGATCTATTGTCTAAGCTGTATAGAAAGCAGGAGAGGATTCTTCTTTACCAGATTTATCTAATTCTCTCAACAGACAATTAGAAGTGATTTGACTCAAACGGGAGAGAAAGTTTTGAAGTAATTTTATGGAAGTTCAACTGGTTGAAATAATTTTTGGTGGGCCTTCAACTTTATATTGTCCTATGATGACTGAAACATACACTGCTTGCATTTGATGGTATTTGTTCACTATTTTGTAGAACATTTATATAAGCAACGGATAAGCAACTGCAAAGTAGCTTTAAAAACCTAGGTTTTTAAAACAAACCTTCAGCCTGCATCTGGAGTGGGGAAAAAAGTCTGAGCTTTCAAATCAGAAACATCAGAAGCAACAACAAAGAGATTTTGCTAACTTCAGTGCGGTTTTGGTAATCTCACAGCCACTTTGTGTTTTGAAAACACAAAGTTACAAGTACTTCTGTGTTGTTGGTACACCTTGTCATATATACCACATTAGAACCAAGGAAATAACTGTTCTTTTAATGGTGATCGTGCAGCAACAAAATAGAAATTCTGTGTGTTATTTTTACATGAGAGAAAAAACTGCATAATCCTTGCAGCCTTTGCTATAATAGCAAAATTTGGCATTTCTACTTGGTCGTATTTTGACAGGATGTGACACAGACCTCGCTTTTGCCAGGACAGGACCAGAAAAAAAGTATTGCCTAGCAAAAGAAGTATGCATCAGAGTAGTATTTTTAGCTATTTACCAGGCTCTGCTGAAAATATAACTTGATGCAAGTAGTAAATTGAGCAATTGGTGTTAATCACTGAACTTCATGACTGTACTTAGCAGCAGCGTTGAATTCAGGACAGTATTCTGTGCGTGTGCTGGATTGCTTAACAGCATTTTCCTAACACAGCCAAGCTTTGCATCTTGATTACATAGCTAGCACTGTACACAGTAACATACAGTCAGACTTTCTCCTTTTACAGAGGGATTTTTACTCCTAAGTTCATTATTACTTTTCTCTTTGAGTTTTCCCTACTCAAGTTATTAACAGAGGAGGCACAGAAAGACTGGTTAAACAGTCATTAGAGCCTCCCTTCTAACCTGTTTGGTAATTCCTTTTTCCATCTGTAGCTCGATGGAGTGTGTATGGCCCTATAGAAATGTATACACTGTATTTGCAATTCCTTTTTCCATCTGTAGCTCGATGGAGTGTGTATGGCCTTATAGAAATGTATACACTGTATTTGCATACAGTTCATGAAGATGGACTCCTGTGTGTAATCTGCTGCCCAATAGCCCATGATTTTAAAGGAACAGGTGTTTGAAATAATACAGTGTGTTCTGAAGACTGTGTTCTTTTTGACATCCTGTGCCAGTAAGAAGCATAAATAGACAGAATTAAAGGCAAGTAGAAAAATTATGTAGAGACAGTGGGTTTTGGAATAGTGTCTCTTTATGCTAACCACTGCTGATACTTTACTGCAGGACTTTTTAAACAGCCTGTGGGTTAAATACCACAAAGTACAGACCATGCCGAGTGTTTATTGCATAGCCAATGCTCTTAACAAAGGTGTGCTAATTGTTTGCCTTTCGTGAGTTGCTTAGTACTGGATCGTATTGTTTTAGAATTGTATGATCTGAGGCTTTAGGGAATACTCAAAGTATTTTCTGTTTTATGCGACACTGAACATGTATTTAAAACAATTCTTCAGTATTAAAAACCATCTGTATGATTTTAATCCTAGGCAAAAAGGGAGCAAAAGTTAATTTTGTGTTTGCAGGATCATTCTACATTTGATGCATTTATGCAGAGTTTTGGGAAGATGCATCTAATTGTTTTAGTTGTGTTCGTAATAACACAGTAATGTGTATAATGTTATATTAGAATTTATATTGAGGTGTCTGTGCAGTCCAACTTCTTATTCTCAAGCCCTTATCATGTATTGCTTGCATACAAATGCTTCTAAATCTCTGATGCAACGTTTCATTGTGAATGTTAACTATAAATTGTAGATTGCGAATTTGTGGTTACATGTTTTTGTTTGATTTTCCTCTCTGCTTCTCTCTACCACATTCTGCATTATGGGAGATTGAATTTAGATCACATATTACAAAAGGCAAGAGCCTTGCAAGAGGCAAGAGATGGTATGTCTTGTAATATTTGAGCAGAGATCATGTTCTCCTCCTGCCTTTTCTCCTCTTCTGGTTTGAAAAATGCGTAGAAATGTTAGAGTGTGATGTGATTGCTTGCATAGTCTCTGTGGAAGTGGTGAGTTTAATTTTGGAATTGGGCCACTTTATTTTGTGGTATTCGAGACCTCCGTTGGCAACAGGCTTATGGAATGTGTAATGTCGTGGGGTGAGGATGCTGATTTTGAAAGGGGAGGGATCAAACAAACTTCATTTCTCAGGTAGGTGTGTGGAAGAGAATTTAATTTTTTCACTGCATATTTTAGATGCACAAATATGTGAATGTTTCGAAGGCTACATGTGCTTTCTTGGTTGCAGAAACTAATAATTAATTGCAACTGTGAAGTCCACCAGGTGTTGTGGTTAGTGAATTTCATCAGCTTAGTCTGCTTTAGCACCTGCTGGGGATATGGTAACTCCTAGTCCTTGTTCTGTCTCCTAGCGTGAGCATAGAGACACCCTCTCAGGATTTTAACCATTCTAAGGGCCTTACAGAGCTTTTTCTGAGTAAAGAAAACAATAAGAAGCCTACTGCTAGCTGAATGTACTTTCTTTACGTTAAAAAACAGTGCAGCAGCTTCAGGCAAATTACTGGCATCAAGTTTTGAAGGTCTTGCTCATTTTTCACTCAGATGGCATGCAACCCTGGAAACTCTTTGTGATCAGCTAGATCACTCTTTGGGAGCTGTCAATGAAAATAGTTGTCTGTTGCTCTACTTAACTGAGTTGTACTTGAGCTTTCAACCATTTTTGCTCATTTTGACCTTACCCTTTAGTTTCCACATTCTATTTTCACTCTGACATTACGTAACAGAAAGGGAACTTGGAATTTGAGGGAGAGGGACTAGTTCAGCACGCTGCTGGTTTAAGAATGAATGTTATAAGAGCATAAGCTGTGTGCATGTGTCTTACTGGGAGAAATGCATGTTTGCATATTTCTTTTTAGAAATATATGTGATTGTGTAAGTCTCATCAGCTTCAACAAATTTGAGACTATTTTAACACTGAACAATGAAATACGGTTTAGGGATGTCTGAATTATCAGGCTGAACTAATAATGGAAGAGCTCCTGAATGTCCTTAGCTAATCAGAGAACCTGGCTTTTTGGCTGGGAGCAGTGATGTGTTAAATTATGGTTTAAACATCAGTATCTGTATGTTGCTTCCCAGGGCTGGATGGTTGTTCATAACTGGCTTTGTTTCTGTACGACACTCTGTAGAATGGGAAAAATATTTGTTGTTATGATAAAATATTGAGATGCCATGGCTTCACAATATCACAGAATCACAGAATGTACATATAACTTCTTAAATACTTTTTTCCTAACAATAGAGAAAAAAATTATCTTGAGACTGCATCTGATTTGCAATGAAATTTTAGTACTGTGAAATGAAAGTCTAGCAAATGTTTTTGGAAGTTCTGGAAAATAAAAAGGTTTTGATTCCTGTTTAACATATATGTTATGTTTTGAATTATTTCCTAATGGCCATGGAATTAATTAAACAAGTGACATAACTTTTTTACATGTACAGCTTTTTAATGTGTTTGGTAAATATTACAACTTGTCATTTTGAGCAGAAGTAAGGAATTATAGTCTCCAGTAAGGAAAATAAGATAACAAATGAATATTTAAACAGAATACATGAGCTTTTTTCCTCAGTGTTGATAAAAGTAGAATTGTAAAACAGTATAGTGTTTGCAAAAATTACATTACTTATTTTTTCACATCAAAATGTAATCACGTTTAACAAGACATAAATAATAATAGTCAAAAGCTGTGTCAGTTGAAATGTCTTTAAACTCCCCTTTAGAAACGTTGCAAAATATTTTTTTAAGTCTTAAAAATTACTTTTAGAAATACGACCTTAAAATTAAGGTTTTTTGATATCTGTTTTTTAGTATGAAGAATAATGAATAAGATACATCCATATTTTACCTTCTCCCATTCTAAGCAAAGTTCAGACCAGATTCTTACACAGCTTTTATGCAAATGCACACAGGAAAAAAGTTACCTATGTAAATTTACAAATGTAATTTCCTGTTGTTTGGTTTATTATTTGATTTTTCTTCTATATAGAAGTGTACTTTGGTCATTTATTTATTGAAAAAATCCAAGATTTATCTATTATGCTCATTATGAGAAGGCTTCTAAAGGAAAACATGAGGAACAGCCAGTAGTGGTATGTGCAGTTCACAGTGGCTTATCTACAGAAGGTGGAGTCATAGCTATTCTGCACCTTCATTTATGCAGTCATAGAGTAGGAAAAGATAGAATCCTATTCAAACTGACTGAAGTTGCATGAAAATCCAAAGCAAACATGCATTTTTCTATGTATGTGGAAGTCTAAAAAAATTGGTTAGAAAAACTAGGTTGTAATGTTTTAAATGAGACTTTATATCATATGCTGGGGATGTCAAATTTGTGGAAAGAAAGGTGTTGATGTGGACAATGTTTTGTTTTTTTTTCTGTGAACTTTTTGGTCTTTTATATCCGTGGAAGCCATGTGTGTGGAGAAGTGGTGATACACATTTAAAAGCCAAAGCAGAGAACAAGTAAAGTGATGGATTCAAATGAAATTAACAAGTGACCATGGAAATCAAGCATTAACACCAAAAAACCCACCTTCAGGACTGCGTTTACAGCTCTAAATCAGATAGTTGTTGTCATCTGGAAGATGTGGGTTCCATATTAACATATTCTGTTGTATCTTTGAGCATATTTTCATTCTTGTGTGTATATAGTTTGACATCTTCACTGTTACTGCTACTATTCTTTTTTTTTTTTTTTCATTAAACTGCTTCAAGTTTTTTGGTTTGGTTTTTTTTTTTTTTCTTCCCTGGTTCTCCTGTTATCCTCCCCTGGGAGGGTGGTGTGGGAATCGCAGAGAGCATCTGTCCAAGTTTAGTGGCCGGCCCAGCCTTAACCTTTGACAAGTATACACAGATAAGCAACAGCAGCTGGCTGTGGTTGTGTAGGACATTAAAATGAAAACACTTGCTATGAAGAGTCTAAAGATCAGTCTAAAGAGTAAACTTGCTTGCAGTGTGAAGTGAGTGCAAAGGCACTTAATGAAAGAAAAACTCTAGAAAGGTCAAAGGTAAGCGAGCATGGCCGAACAAAAGTGTGAAGGTGGATATTAAAAAGCAAGAAGGTGTTATTCAGAAAATATAAACATAACCTGTGTCTGAGCAAGGTAGATTGAGGTCAGCAACAGACTTGCAGGAAAAAAAAGTAAAAAAAAGAAATATCAGCATTCACAGATTTCAGAAAGGTTCCGAAGCTCTTTTTTTTTTTTTTTTTGGCGGAGCGGAAAGTGCTTCCTTGATGGAAATCACAATTTCTAAGCAAGAGGTATTATAGAATGCATCTTGAAAATGACATAGTATTTACTCAACAGTTTTAAAGGAACTCATAAATGGAGCGAGCAAGCAAATACTTATTCTAACTGGAACTAACCTGCTTAACAGTGCTTTTTGCAAGAGTCTTGGTTGTCAGGGAACGAATTTTAATTAATAGTATTTCCCTTGATTCATGTTTAGTCTGCTTGACTCTTCTGCTCGATCAATCAAGGGAAATTATTAAGAGCACAATTACTGGACATGTAGATAAGTATAATATGCTGGGAGAGAGTGAAGATTATGTTTGTAAAGGAGAAGCATGCCTCTGCTGAAGTTCTTTTGAAGCATCAACAACCATGGAAACAAGGGAATATTTAAAAAGAAGAATTAATTTACCTGTTAAAATGCCATGTTCCTTGAGTAATTGTAGACAGGATTGCTACATGGGAGATATATTTACAAGTTGGAATGTGTAGGGTAGTTTATACCCTTGAATTTATAGGTGCTAGTTTCTGTGCGGTGAGATAATAGAAAAACAAAACTTTATAGTGAAAGGTGCGTACTACTTGCTTTGGTTTTATTTGTTGCTGTGAATAGGAATATGATGTTGTGATTTATATTTTTTATAGGAACCCCGACTTCTCATTTAACTTCATTGCTACCTTACTGGTGTTATCAGTACAAGAAAGCCCAAGAAGTATTTTAGTAGTTTCCGTATCATAAGGCACTATGAAGTAAATGATGGTATTGATGTAATACTAACATGTTTATGCTTTTTAAATAACCATTGCTGTGAGTAGACTTCAAAGCTTCTTTTAGTTACAGTGTTTAAAGGTTTCAGAATGACTATTTGGTTTGTGTGCTCTTGATATTTTTTTAAACTAATCTTTGCAGCCAAGATCTATATAACTGTTTTAAAACTATTTATAATTATGCCGTTGCAGAATGTGACTGGTGGTAGGTGTATTTGTTTAACTAAGGTTTTCTGAGTGTGCTTTTTTTCTTTAAATTTATTTTGCAATGTCCTATAAATGTCAGTGAAAATAATATAAAAATAGTAACTTCCAGTTTATCTTACATTCCATTACTTTGATCACCCTGTTCATTTATAATAAGATACTCTTTTAAAAAAAGTAATACTCTTAGTTAGACACTCACAGACTTACCTGGTTTATGTGATTTATTTTTTTTTTTGTACTTTTTTATTTTAGGAAACTCTGAGCTGAAAGACAAAGAGGACCAGTTTGGAAGAACTCCACTTATGTACTGTGTATTGGCTGACAGGCTGGAGTGTGCAGAGGCATTGCTGAAGGCTGGAGCTGACGTTAACAGAGCTGATTGTAGCCGAAGAACTGCTCTCCATCTTGCTGCGCAGAAGGTAATTACATTACAAGTACGCAGCCATTGTATAAACTTGTGGCATTCACAACAGGTAGAAGGACGTTTTCTTGTATTGAGTAAGCATCATGTATCTTTAGAGGATTTTGCAGTTTAGAGACAAATAACGCCATGGATATTTTAAAAACTTGGCCCATCCCAAAGTAAATCTTCGGAGAGTTATTTTTCTTTTTTGAGTGTCTTTACTGAGTGTACTTGTAGCTGTCTGCAGAGACAGTGTAATTCATTGCTATTTTAAGAACTTGTGCTTTCTAGGAGAAATAAGCCTTGGCTGTTTTGGGATAGACAGTTCCAAGTAAAGACTGAATTTTGTACACTCTAGTACTCCTTAGGATGTTAGCATTCATTTCAGTGGATATAAGGCAGTATGCTGTTAATTACTAAATGCTGTGGCTTAGAATTTCAAGATAGGGAATACTAAATCATTTCTAAGACCAGGAGGGAAATGCGCTATTGTCTGTTTTTCCTTCTAAAATTTCAGTCTTTGATGATGTCCAA